CAAAGAAACCAAACATCTCTCACGCCTCCCTATGCGATCTCCGAGGCTCTGAGACCATAACTAGACTTACTAGCACCAGAGGAGAAATGTAGTAGAAAAATGATGAAAGCCGAGCCCTGGCTGGCGTAGCTCAGTGGATTGAGCGCGGGCTGCGAACCAAAGCATCACAGGTTCGATTCCCAGTCAGGGCACATGCCTGGGTTGCAGGCCACAGCCCCCAGCAACCACACATTGATGTTTCTCTGTCTCTTTCTCTTTCTCCCTTCCTTCCCTCTCTGAAAATAAATAAATAAATAAATAAAATCTAAAAAAAAAAAAGAAAAATGATGAAAGCTTATTCTTATGATCAAGAAAGAACACGGGCACACAATAAGGGCTTGGTGGGAAAATGCCCGGTTTCCTTGCTCACCCTCCACACCACTAACTTGTTCTCTTCCTCGCGGGAATCTCCCTCGCACACCAATTTTCCATCCTTCTTGTCTTGCCCTTCACCCCCCCGGGTTTGCTTTCTCCATTCTTTCCTTCCTGCCTCCTCCTTTTACTCTGTTCACTTTTTCTCATCTGTGACACATTGCGATTCTGGGCGCTCGACTCTGCCTGCAAACCGTGCCGACGGGGCGGGCGACCCCGGCAGGTTCCTAGACCAACTCTCTCCTCCGTCTCCTCACTGAGTTTCCCGGACCGCGGCAGTGGGCAGTCAGCCAGCCTCCAAGGCAGCGCCTGTGTCGTCGGTCACATTCGGTCGCTCCTGCACTCAGTCAGTACTCATGAGCGCCTCCTTTCTGCCGGGTGTGGCAAAACCACCTCGAGCAAACCACTCCACCCCAGGGTGGAGCTTACCCTGGAGGCTCAAAACAGATGACACGGGCTTCGGGCACAGAAAGGGCCCAGGGGACCTCAGGCAGGAACGGGGCTGAGGTGACAGCGAGGGCAAAGCCTGTCCGAGGAAGTGACATCGGTGCTAAGGAGCGGGAGATGGGAACCGTCAAGGCAGAGTCTGGGGAGGGAGAGTTCCAGCAGGGACAGTGGGGTGTAAAAGCCCCCAGGCGGGAAAGAGGGAAATGAGTTTTGATAGGAAGGAAAGGGCACCTTCAGCTGGGGACGGCCCTGAGGATGCCAAGTTCACTTCGGTGGAGAACCGGGCTCTATCTCCACCTCCGTCTCAGAGACAGAGAACCAGAAATTACATGATCTGGGGGCCAGGGTTACCTACCCGCCCAGGGAAGGGTAGTGTGTTTCTAAAGTTGGTCCCATGTGTGAGTTACTTTTGATTCCATTTCATCTGTCTTTGGTAAAAAGAGAAACACTTTTTGACTTTGGCCATCTCTATTATTTATAGTTCATATTGTCATTACTTGTCCCATCCTTCTCGGATCCCAGAGAATAAATGCCAGGCGGGGCAGGGCTCCATCCACCCTTTGGAGGGTGTGACTTTACCCTCCAAAGTCACACATGCACCGTGTCTGTGAGGGTCCACAGAGACCCCTGTTCCGACTGGCTCGTTTACGAAATTAATCACAGGGGTAAAAGAATGCCATGGAGCACCAAGGCAGATTATAATGCTGCTGGCATTGCTTAAAAAATGTAGCTGGCTGGGGCAAAAAGTGAGAGACCGTGACCTTAGCCCCCGTGTTGCCTTAGAGGACCAGAGCAGGCACTGGCAGGTGAGGTGAGTCCCCGGTTAACTGGAAGGAAGCAAACTCAGGGGAGCACGATTGTTTGTCCAGGTCACTGAAACACTCCTTAGGGCGCAGGGACACTAAAACATCTTACGGTTTTCATCCCTTGCACAGTGACTTTGTGGAGATAAGCCATGGACACTGAGTGCACCTAGCAACACCCCAGTAAAGCCATCAACACCCTCCCCCTTCCTCACTCAGTTGGGAAGAGCACTGATAAAACCCTGGCCCTGGCTTTCATTAACCACCGACACAAAAGCAATGGAGGTCTAGGAGTTGTCCCATGAAGCAATGAAGCTGCTAATGGGCGCTGGCATTGATAGGTCCCAGCGAATTCAATGCTGGCTCATTAGAAGAGCTGAAGTGTTGTGTTTCCTTGGAACGAGGATGGTGGAGGCCTAAAACAGGCAGGAGGAGCCCGGCAATAGGCTGTGCCCAGGGCGGGATCTAAGGGCTCCCAACGGGCACTCTGTGCCTCAGCAGTGACCTTGAACATCCCGTACTGAAGCTCACTGTTCAGGGAGCAAAGGGGGCGTCACACCAAGAACACATCCCTGCAAGAAGGACCCTGAGGAGGGGGAGCCCAGCAGGTAGCCATACTGTTCTCAGAAATTCCTTCAGGGCCACCTTCAAACTATTTACCTGGGCTGGGGTCTAACCAATTGGGAGGGCTGCGGGCTGCTGGTCCCAGGGCTACACCGATGCATGCTGGGTGGATTTCAGGCTCACGTGGATGTACGGTATGGCTCACAAGTTTTCAATGAAAAACATTCTCACAGGCTGGCCCCGAGCCGCCAGACCTCCCGGGCCCATCCGTTGGGTGTCATCACCCACCTCGCCACTCTCGCGCTACTTGGCATTAGAAGAATAGCAACATCCTTTCATTTGAATCTCACTCAGGGAAGTGGCTCCACCGGCAGCCAACCCTGAATTCAGATCTCGCCTTTATGATTTTCATTCTTGGCAAAACACATAACCTTTCAAAAACCTCAATCTTCAAAAATCTACAGAAAGGAACGCCATCTCGCCAACACGGGGCTTTCTGGGAGGATGGACACGGGATTTGCTCGGTGCAGTACCCCATGTGGGGCCTGGCCCACGGGCGGCTTTCGCGACGGCAGCCCTGGTACCTACACTCGACTGCAGTGCAAACGAGTGCTCCTGGGGAACGCGGCAGTTTCGTATATTGGAAACTGGGTTCTGGAAACAAAATAAAGGTCTAAACTAGAAGCAAAGAAGAGTGCGGGCTTCTCTAAAGCAGCAGATGTGATTGTGAGAAGGCACGCAACGGAAATCCCAATTACCGCACTTTCTTCGGCGTCCGTGAAAGAGGCCGTCGGATACCGTCTGTGTCCGGCGTCCTGGTTTAAGGAGCTGTATCCAGGTAAGAGCAGTTCAATTGTATTCCTTAAGAGTATTTCATAACCCAGAGTTTTCCCTGAGTCAGCCACCTCCCCGTACACAGTCACTTTGAAAGGATAAAATTTGACTTTGCGTAGGAGACCAGTTGTGACGAAATGTTGCGTGTCTGTAAAGTGCTTTCACATCCTTATCCCACGTCACCCACAGGCCTGGGGTCCACCAACGGGGCGATGACTATCAGAAACTCCAAGGCCAGACAGACCAGTGCTCCAGTTTAAACAGAGAAAGCCCACGGGATGCCCCGCCCCGCCCCACTCCGGTGACCACACCCACGTCCAGGCCAGCGTGCGCTGCTCCACCGCACCCTGCTCCTGTCCCGTCTCTGTGGAGGAGACACCATGGATGGAAGGAAGGCGCTGAGTGTGGGTCAGCTTGCAATGTGGGAGCAGAGGCGTTCGGCGCTGGGGGAGGCGGGGGGCGGGCACCCTGGGCGCCTGCTCTGCTTGTCACAAACTAAATGTCAAAAAGTCGGATCCGAGGCTTGTCCCAGCTCCTGTCACCCCGATTTTTGGTCGCGCATCACAAGTTTAACGAAAGATGATAGCACACACCTCAGCCCGAAAGAGCAGAGGGAGGCCCTCCTTGGATGTGAAACAGAATCGTTGAGATTTCTTCTAGAAAGAAGGAGCTTCATGGCCCACTGTGTGCCTGGGGAGCTTTAGCTTCTGAACTCTGAAGAAGAGGAGTCCACCCTCACAATTCACAGTTACTGTGCTTGTAACAGTGTGTGTGTGAGTCTGTGTGTATGTGAGTGTGTGTGTGTGAGTGTGTGTGTGGTCCACCTCCCCCCAGAATCCCACTTGAAGGGTGAAGGATGGAGCCCTGACACTCAAGGACAGGGCAAGGTTATTCTCAGAAGAGCCAAAATTCCTAGCACTTGGAGGACTCGGTGAATCTCCACCCCCGAGAAGAGCGTTGACCTTGGAAGTCAGCTGTGTGGGAGTTTTGAGAGCAGAGAGGAGCTGACTCAGATCCACTAACCGATAGAAATGGCGCTCTGTGCCGGCCGGCTGGAAGCCAGCTGATCCGGGGCACAGCATCAGGTACGCTTCCTTCCCAGGTAAAGAGGGCCCAGGGCGACCACAGGGCCCTTCGGACAGAAACTTGGAGGAATTTATTGGCAAAAACTGGGGAGATTACACTTGAAACAAAAAAGGGGCAACATTCAGCTCTGAGGCCTCCCCACTCCACAGGGTTGCCGCTGCTTGTCGACATGCCCCCACTCTGAGTGGACAAAGACCCCTACGCAGGGGTGGCAGGGTGGTCTCAGTGACCGAAGCACTGTTCCTGAATCACTCCTGGGAAAGCTTCTTAAAGCTATCATCAGAGCCTGACATTTCAACACTCCTCAGGAGCCCTGCTAGCTAGAGACCCAGGCTCCCCCAGTGCCCCGGAGAGGCCCTGTGACAGACAGGGACTGACTGACGCACCAGCTGGGCCCCAGTTACCTGTCACCCCCGCCACCAGGGCCTCCTTGGGTTGTCCCTGACTGTCACCCCAAGGGACTGATTTACCTACGTGTCCTTGATTGGCATGCGCACAGTAGCCCTGAAGAGCCCTGAAGAGCATTATTTTTAATCCTGTGATTCTTAAATGAACCCGAGTTCTCAAAAGATAAAACGCTGTGGGGGGAGACGGGGGGCTGTGGTATGTGCTCTGTTCCTGCGGTCGAGAAAGAACACTGACCTCACGCTCCCTGGGGGTGGTGCAGAAATAAATCTGCTGACCTCGAGTCCGGGTTGAGAGCCTCGGGCTTCCCAAGGGCTGGGAAAACTGCAGCAGAGAAGGCCCCAGAGCCCGTGCGGGCTGCCCTCCACAGGGCACCACGTGGGTCCTCCCCGGCGACCTCAGGGTTACCACGGGGCTGCATCTGCCCTTCCGCGGGGCCCCGGTACTCACGGGAGGTCCGGACGGTGTCACTGGGTGGGCTGCGGGGGCTGGGGCCGTGGGGGTTCACGGCCCTCACGGCAAACTGGTAGTTGGTGTGCGGATCGAGGCCCTTGATGACCATGGAGTCCATCTGGATGCGCTCTTGGATTAAGGCCCAGCTCTCGTCGAAATCTGGTCTGTATCGATCGAAGAACAAAACAAAACAAAAGGCGGTTGTTCGGAAACAGCAGAGGACGGGGGCACTCGCAGGCTGCATCAGCTGGCGGCGCCTGACCTCTGGGAGCAACGCTTACAAAAAATGAGCGAGCGCTTCCCACCCAGAAGTCATCTTGCCGTGAGGTCACAGGTCATCACTTCCAAGTCCCTGCCAATAGCAGCACGGAGATCACGTTCAGAGCCCGTTTTTAAGGACTGTTTAAAGACCGGCCGCTTCTCCTGGCACGGCCTTGACTGCGGCGAAAAGATCCCCACAGAGTTGTTCCTTGTCCAAGACTCTGTCTTCCAGATGCTCCATGAACAAGCCCTCCCCGGGCGGCCCCCGTTCCCGGGGGTCAGGAGAGCACAGGTTCCCTCCGCTCACAGTCTGCTCACGAAATAAACAGAGAGGGGGGTTTATGGGGCAACTCATGCGTAGGAATCGTCACAGGAAAAGCCAGGAAGATTCTGTGCGTGGCCGTTCTTCCTACTCTGCACGAAATTGCACCGCCGGGCCAGGGTGCGGAGTTTTCTCCTGTCCCCAGAGGGTGCAGACCTCCACTCAGAGCTGCCATCCAGGAGCAGCTGGGGGGGGGGGGGGGGGGAGTGCAGCCCCCGCCCCCCCACCCCCGGGGCTGACGGAGCTGCTCACGTCCTGCCTCTGCCACGTGCTAGCCCTGTTTACAGGGGTGGGGAGGGTGGGGCACAGAAAAACCAAAGTTATCTTCTGGAGGGCAGGACCCACTGGTAGTCCCTGCCTACACTGCTGCATGAGTGTCTGGGAACCCATCTGTATCAGTGCACCAGCTGGCGTGGTTGAGAGAGGCTGCATCTGGCTTCAGTGAAATTGTTTTGAAGACTCTTTCAACGCATTTGCCCATTCCACGATGGCTGATTTACAAGTGCACCCGCCCACATGGCACTGAGTGTCCAGCAGTTTTTCGACCAAAAACGGCAATGACCCCCCATGCCCCACCTTCTCTATTCACTCAATCTCACCCTATGTGACTTTTTTTGTTGTTTCCCCGGATGAAGAAAGTCCTCAAAGGGAAACATTTTGCCAATGTGGACAAGGTGAAACAAAAAACAGCAAGAGCACTGAAAGGCATCAGAATCGACGAGTTCGAAACCTGTTTTGAGCAGTGGGAAAGCATCTCAACAGGTGAGTTGCATCAAATGGAAAGCACTCTGAAGGTGACTGAAGCTTAAACATGTAAGAGTAAGTACACAATTTCTTATGAATAAATTCCGTTTGGGGGCGGTTCCCCATCATAACTTCTCTGAAGGTTCATTTTTCTCATCTCTAAAGTGGGAGTAACCAAAGTGCTTACCTAAGGGGCTGTCGTGCAGGTGAAATAAGATCCACGCCCTCAGCAGAGCGTGAGCACTCGGTGTGTGTCAGCCATTCATTATCCAAGGGACCGCCCCTCGGCCCAGAGCAGGTGGGCACCCCGGGCCACCTGCTCACGCTAGACTGGGTGCGGGTGGCCAGGCAGCACCTGGAATGCGGCTAGTCTAATCTGAGAGGTGCTCTGAGTGTAAAACACACACTGGATTTTAAAGGGGAAAAAATGTAACATATCTCCTGGACTACGTATTGAAATGTATTCTGGGTAATAAGAGCTGCCCAATGGGAATGATTGCGCGTGACCGGGGACAGCGTGAGTGGCCGAGTTGGACAGAGGGCCGGCTCTGTGTTAATAGCTAATAACGGTCACCACTTACCCAGTTCTTATGAAGTACAGCCATCCCCCCTTATGCAGGGGGGTCCATTTCTAGACCCCCAGTGGATGCCTGAACTGGACATAGTTCCGAACATACACTATGTTTTTTCCTATATGTACGTAGCACCTATATGTGATATAGGTGCACCTGTATGTACCAACATCTATATGTGATAAACGTAATTTACCAATTAGAGATCAACAAGAATCACTAATAATAAAATAGAACAATTATAACAAGGTACTGTAGTAAAGCTTATGTAAATGGGACTTCTCTCTCTCTCTGTCTCAAATATCTTAGGTACTGTGCTCACCTTCTGACTTAAAGGAAGCACTTCATGGCTTCTCATTGGCATTTCCAAATTGCTGGCATCTTGAACTTTGGGGCCATTAGTAAGTGAAACAAGGGTGACTTAAACACAAGCACTGCAGCATCACGACAGTGAGTCTGCCCTTCCTGTTGGTCACTCCGATGACCAAGATGGCTGCTAAGTGGCTGCTGGGCGGGCAGTGCACTCGGTGCGGACGCCCTGGAGAAAGCGATGAATAGCGCCCCCAGCAGGAGGAGTGGACTGGGACAATATGAGATTTTGTCACACTACTCAGAACAATGGGGCAATTTAAAATGCATGAATTAGTTATTTCTGAAACCTTCAGTGTAATATTTTCAGGTCACGGTTGACCACGGATCGCTGGAACCGTGGAGAGGGTAACCCTGATTGAGGGGGAACCCCTGGGCCAAGCATGCTGTAGCACTTCTAACTCACTGACTTCCCCCAGCTGCACCATGCAGTCGAGGATAATCTGAAACACCCCTCTCCCCATCCCCCCTTTTCAGAGAGGAAACTAAGGCATCAAACAGATGGGTCCTTTGCCATAGGTCGCACAGCTGATACTCAGTGAGGCCAACTCGGGGTGATGGGGGAAGGTCAGATTAAGAAAATGCTTGATACTGGATAAAACATGAGGGTGACACCGGCTGGGGCTATTCTCCACCCCGAAGCTTGCTGCCTGGCCACTCGCCCAGCGTTCTGCTGCTGAACACCTCTGCTCCCAGATATTCAGATGGCAAAGGCGGGGAAGATTGATGTCCATCATTTAAGAGCCACTTGCTGGGCAGGGAAACAGAGACCCAGTCTCCTGCAAGGAGTAGCTCAGGGGACACACACTTTGCTGTAGCAGATGCTTGCCTCGTTTCTCTTTAGTTAGCAGGGAGTGTTGAACGCCAAATGGAGGCCTCTCCCCCAGGAAAAGATGCTTCCCTAGGCTGCCCGTGGGGAGGAGGAGTTTGCCCGAGAATCCGAGCTCCTGGAGAAGCAGACAGAGGTCAGGGCAGGCCTTGGAGGCAGTGGGGCTCGGCCTCCTTCTTGATAGAAGCCCATAAGACAGGCTTCTATGTGAACTGACTTCATCATCAAAGAGAACACCTCAGTGAGTGGAAGGAAACACACTTACAAATGCAAACTAGCAAACCACTTCCCAGAGGAAAGCCCCAGGGAATACCCTAACAGCAAAGCCAGAAAAGATGACCTCCTCCTTTCCGGTGGTTGGTCGGTGCTTAGTCCCTGCCAAGCTCCCCTGTAGCTTTTATAAAGGAAGTGACCTCTGACTGTTCTCAGATGCGCGATCATTTACCCAAATATGTGCAACAGTCTTCACGTAAACATTACAGCACCCACCCCCCGCCCGCCCAAAAGGACGATTATTTTGTATTTGTTCATTTGATGCAGGAAAGAAAGCTCTCTTTTCAGCGAATAAGAGATTAAAATCATTAACCTTTAATTTCCTTATCTGGAGTGGGAGAGGCAGCTGGGGCAGATCTAACACCAGTTCCACACCTTTAACTCGGGGCCTCTGCTTTTCTCATGGGATTTGCACTTAAATGTTTTCAGAGTCTCTCAGGGTGCAGAAGTGAAAAGATGGGAGTGAGAAAGAGATAACCAGGCAAAAGTATTGTCTCAGATCACCCTCAAAACAATAGCTCCTTTTTAACCAAAGAAAATTATTTCATTCAACTACACAGCTGTCAGTCAAATCACCATAGCAACACTCGCCTGTCAGTTCCCCCAACAACCGAAAGGCCAGAGGGAGAGAAGCAGACTACGAATTCTCTGCTGCCCCAGGCGGAGGTGGGGAGCCACCAGCAGTGGGCACTGGAGGTGCCTTTCCGAATAGTGGGCGATGGTTGGGCCGGGCAGGCTGTATCTCTGGGGAGATGAGCGGAGCACCTCTGCAAGGTGGGTGGGCAGCGGAGTGCAGGGCCACGAGCAAGGTGTTGGCCGTGGCCCCCAAGTCCCAGTGAGCTGATTCAAGTGAGCAAGACCTGCTCAGCCGTTCATCTGGGTGGGAAGAAGCATTCCCACTGTGACTCAGAGCGCAGCCTTACAGATCACTTCTCAGAAAGTACGTGTGAGATTTTAGGTGTGAACATCATTTTTTCATGCTAAGGAAAGAGTCCTTAGCTTTTATCAGATTCTCAAAAGCGTTAAGAGTCACTTGTCTGGTTGAGTGTCTCATTCAAACCATGTGGGCACTGAAGGTAATACATTATCTGAAGTCACAGAATCACTGGGTGGTGTGTGTGTGTGTGTGTGTGTGTGTATTTTGCTTTATTCCCTTCTTTCTTTTGGCACTTTAAGCACCTCTCACACTGCCAACCTCATCCTCAGTGGACATTTTTCTTGGTTCCATCACACTGAGCAGGTAGCTGCCTTGGGCTAGTCATCTGGCAAGTGATCAGTGACTGTCAGCAGGGCACCCATCACAGAAGCTATGCTCTGGAGGTGCCAAGGAACAATAAACATACTGCTAGTCTCAAGGAGTTTACAGTCTAACTGGGAGATGATACACCTACGGATCAGCTGGAAGCCACTGCAGAAGAGCGTATTTCAAGAGCTCTGTTTGAACGGGTCCATGTGAACCAAAATCCAGGGAGAAGTCCACGAGGACCAGGGAGAACTTAAGTTGGATTTGGAACACATTCAGTGAGTTTGGATCACTGAAAGGAGCAGAGCATCTTTGGGTGGAGAAGGACAGAGAGACATCACCTCCATGTGCAACGTGCTCGTAGAAGGTGCTCAACAGTGCACGCAGGAATGGACTCACCCACACAGCAGGTGTCCAGTAAAGGGTGGGTGAGTTGGACTGCAAGATCTTTAGGGTCTGACCTTGGGAATGACGAGATGCGCTAAAGCAGGGGGTGGCAGACTTCGGCCGGCTGTCGGTCTTCCTACAGAACTTTCGCTGGAATGCAACCA